CATTGACAGACAGGCAGTGTATGAAAATGTCAATAAGCAGCATGTTAAAGGTCACTCAGACGTCTAACTTTTGAGTGATTAAATGACAAGACGAAGAGCTGCAGCCATGCTAGCTGGTCTGTGAGGTTATAGTTAGAAAGCTAGATATGAACATCACCATGCTAACATGCTCAAAATGACAACAATGACAATGGTAACATACATATGTGTGACAGTTATAATGTTTACCATGTCCATTGTCTTAGTTTAGCATTTTAGCATGCTTATTTTTACAATACCAAACACAAAATAAAGCTGAGGCTCAAGGAAATGTCATTATTACCGCAGGTATATTTGGTAATGAAATGTTAGGTTATGATGGCTAGATGCCAGGTTTGCTCCAGCAACTGCAGACTGTGTTGACAAGCAGGCCTAATCAGCAGGCCAAACTACAATAACCAACTTCTGGTTGTTTTCAGAAAATTGGCACTAGATGAAAAGTCATTGAAATATGAATGTCTGTACCAAACTAGTTGCCTAGATATTTCACTAAAACAATGAAATGTGAACCTCATGGTGGTTGATTGATTTACATTTTTTATTGGTCAAAAATGGTCCCTCTAGCCAGAGACATCCCAGATATACAAATCATCTAAAGGATAAAAACACAAAAAAATCCCAAAGGCTTATTTCCATTGTGGCCCATTTTTGGGGAGGTAGGGAACAGTAGCATCATGAAAAACAATAACATACATAATTTAATTTGAAAAGAAACAACAATTATTATACAATGTACAACAATACTAATCCATAAACATTCTAATGTACAGTTCAGATAAAGTCCTTTAATAAATACCAAACAAAATGTATTAAATCAAATGAATCCTTACAATCACAGATTCATTTAATTAATGGTGCTAGAGGAAACGTCAGGGGATCACCAAAGTCAGTAGAGATTATCCTCTGGGGACCATGAATGTTTGTACATCATTTCATGGCAATCCATCCATTGTGGTTGAGATTTTTAAATCTGGACCACAGTGGTGGACTAACCCATTAACTTTGCCATCCATAGAGCCAGGCTGCTAGCATAGCTAAACTTTTGAGGTTCTAATTGACTTCATCAGTACAGTTTGCTTCAAAGGTTTTGAAAAGCTGTACACAGCAACACAACCCACATAGGATAGGGTTCTAGGTCAGATTTGGTTGATTTAAGGATGCAAATGGGTCAGTTATGGCAATGGCAAGGGGGCTTTGGTCCAAAAATGGCTCATCTCTAACCAGCCACATGTGAGAAATGTGCAGCATTTGGATACTGGGCCAAGTGCAACACACCACTTGTAATCTAGTTTAGAATTGGGTCTTCAAAAGGCTACACTGGTCATGGCTGGCCCAGTTCTGCACAATATCAAGGTTAAGTTGGTGTCCTTGCAGCCAGATTGCAATGGTTTCATCATTGTTATTGCATGGCAGAATGAGCCAAATGTAAGTATTAATGTGGGTCAGTACTGGGTTTCACTAATTTGCTTTCTGGGTGTCTGGTTGGTTCAACACAAACTCTGTGACTATGACAGATGTCAGCTGTCCTGTGTGAATGCCATCTTAATACAGCAACAGCCGGCTTCACACTCAGTTACAAATCTTCGCGCTTGGCAGATACTTCCAACTAGTTTATGATTCGAACTGGCAATCTTCCAGTCACATGCCTAGTTATGCTGCCAAGGTGAAAAGAAAGACAGTCTCAGGTTCAACTAAGGGCAAGCATTTGCCTTGCTGAAGAGTCCCTACCCGCTACAGAGACAGTGTGTCACAACAGATGTCTCTTTGAAGGAGTGCAAGTAAATGGCCCGTAATAGAAATTCAGAACTTTAAAGTCTAATTGTTTCAAGTGTGCAAATCAATATCACCATACTGTAATCTACAGATGTGAGTGGGAGTTTGGAAAAGTTTATAACTGCAATACTTTTGTTAAAAAAACACAACTCTTGGCTAAACAAAATTTATTTTATTTTATTTTATGTTAGCTTATTTTTACTCTAACCCTGTATTACTTTCCCACCTTTGTATTGAAACTGTTGCACAGTAATTTCCCTCGGGATAAATAAGGCTTCTTGAATCCTGAATCTTGAATCTTGAAAATGCAATTTGAATACTTACTTAGGAAAGCATGTTGTGATGAATATGACTTCAACAGTAATGTGTTCACCTTTTAAGCTTTCTAAGTGCTTGAGTTTCATAAACCAAACATAGGCCTACCTCATGCAGTTAACAGTGTTTGGAAACATTTCTGTAATTCATTTTTCCTGTCTCCCTGTCAGTCTCTGGCATTCAGCCTGTTGATACTACCACAGAGGGGGTGGGGGCGTGGAGGGGTCGCAGTGTTTATTCAACTCCGTTAGCATGGCTTCCTGCTTGCCTCCTCATTACCCTGTACTCAGAATGCCTCAGACCGACGTGAGGAGTATCAGCAGGCTCAATTGGATGCAATGTCACGAAACATATCAGGGATGGATACTCTTGACTTTTTAAAGCCAGCTTATCAATCCAAACCCTTTCTGCCACTCTTTTTTACTCTCTTCTCCTTTCTGCACCATCAGTCTCTCTTTCTGTTTATGTTTATTTCACCTCCAATGTCATCTTCTGTTTGTCCCCTGTCCTCTCTTTTACTGATCTCTTTCATGTCTGAACTCTCTCCTCTCGCTTCGTCTCAGCTTTCTGTCTAGTCCTGCTCGTTGTTTCATCTGCTATCCAAGGATATCATCAGGTTTGTGGAAGAAAATATATTAGACTTTTCAGATATTTTCATGCACCTGGATTTGAATTTAAGAAAAAAACTTTGAAGCCAATTAAGATAATAGCTGACAAAAAGAAATAATGATAGGAAATTAAAGGAAGAAATGAATTCTTAATAAGAAAATAAAGTCTAATTTTGTTCTGACTGTGTAGACTTTTGTAGACTAAAGAACTGGTCACAAGAACTGTGGTGTCGCACAGAGAGATCCTCCACACGTATTTTTAAATGAAAAGAAATGGTTCGAACAACATGTTGTCCAATCACGACGGAAATCAAAACTGTTTGTAATTGTTCTGACCGGCATAGAGTGGGTTCAAATTCAATAATGTTTAAATAGGTAGATAATGGAGCACATTTTCCGACCGTCTCTCCTGGAAGACAATCATAGTTTCACTCAGTTGTTTAAATGAGAAGTGATAAAAATAGTTTTGTCAAGAATGAATACGAGAGCTAGCGTTCAATCCCTGGCTCCCTTCTTTCCTCCACACAGCTTGCCAATCACAGTGTGAAGTGGGTGTTAATGTCAGATTGTGGGGCAACATGTTCACACAGTGAAGTCACATTTCTGTTTCGTAACTGGCAACAAACCATTCCTAATACATGTGGATGATGCAAGACAGCTAGTTATCTATTATAGCTTTCTCTGTTTTCTTTGGGTTTCTTAAACCACTGTGAAGACAGCTTGCTTTTGGTCAGTGGTGCAAATTCGCAGGTTGAACTTGACACAAAACATTGGTTCCTGTGAGCATATCCATGATTTGTTAAAGAAAAATCACAATTTGAAATGAAATACCTACAGTGGGTACATTAAAGTGATTTCAGTGTTTTTAAGGCTAATAATGGTAACACCTTTAGGTCTGTTTTGTTGGTTTGTGGTATATTTACCTCACAATCATGAGTAATTGTCCAGAATAATATAGTATGGCGCTGCGTTGAACCAATGTAGTAGAGTTTGACTGCAGAAATTTTTCAGCCATTTAAAAAAAATGTACAGAAATATACATTTTGGTGTAATTCCCTTATAACCAAAGAGCAAAGACATTCTTAACTCGTTTAGTTGAAAGAAATCCACCAAAGAACACGCAGAGAAACCAATTTCTCCACTGACAGGAGCCTCAGCAGGCAATGCAGAAAATGTGTTTTCAATAATTGCCTGACCTTTTCTTGATAAGTAAAATCTTTCACTTCCAATATGTCCATTACTGTCTTAATACACATACAGACTGAAGGGCATTTAGGGGAAATTTACTAAATCACATCCTGCAGTACAGTTGTATAACACATGTTTAAAAAGAGTGGGTATAACAAAAAAAGTAAATTGCAACACTTGACATCACAAAATAATGGAATTCAGTGACATTTACAGATTGATTGATAGTTTGTCAGAGGTTGGGTTTTTTCTTTCAGAAAAGTTTCCATGGAACATTGCCACTTTATAGAACAAATCCAGTTTGATTTAACAAAGCTAATGTGATGGGACAAAAACAGTCAACAGCCTCGTAACTGGTAACCGGTATGTTTGGTGTTTTACTTCAATTGGGGGACTACTGTACCTGGAAAAAAAACTATGATGCTGAAGCTCCCTGAAAACCCATTGGCTGATATAAAATGTGTTATAATTGAGCCAAAGACAAGGCTGTTTTTCTTACTTTCTTCCCTGAAAAGTTTTACTTTGCAAGATTTTCACAAGTATGCAAGGGACGAGCTTTGCCCTGGATTATTCTAAGAGCATACTCGCTGTCATTAAACCACGAGGAAACATATTAACTTAATTTAAATATTCTAATGGTCTATAATGCCTTAAATATAGCTACTGTAAGACTTTTTAAGGATCTTGCTTTACTTTCTCTTTCTGTCTCTGTGATGTTGAGTGGCCTAGGGTCACACCAGAGGGCCCTCCTCCCCCTCTCAGAGTTTCATTACAGCCGCAGTAGGATGCCATGGTATATATGCACAACAAACTGATTGAACCTCCTCCTCCATGGCTCTCTCCCTGCCCTCCTCCCTCTTCTCCTCCTCTGCCTCACTTTTGATGTCTATTTCCTTTCACCACCCTTTATATTTTCATCTTTCTACCCTTTTTATTTGTTCTGTACCCCCAACCCCTTCACCCCTTGTGTCCTGTCTCAATTCCTATCATCTCCTCACTTTCTCTGCAACTCTCTTTTCCCTGTCTGACTTTGACTGCTCATATCTCTCACTTGTCTTTCTCAATCTCTGCCCCCAGCCAAGCCTAAGAACTCAGCCAACGTTGTGACCGTCCAGGCTGGTTCCAAGTCGGTGGTGGTGGCCCAGTGCGAGGCGGCGGACGGCAAACCAGCAGCCACCATCAAGTGGCTGGCGTCGGTTGGGGGCAACCATTCAACCACCATGACAAATGGACCGGACGGCACTGTGACAGTGCGCAGCGAGTATCGGCTGGTTCCTACGCCGGCAGATAACGGCAGGGAGGTGACCTGCATGGTGGACCAGAGGACACAGGATCAGCCGTGGGTTGACTCTGTCAAGCTCTCTGTGGAGTGTAAGGAAGACATGCACACTTTAATACTTATGTTCACTAATTAATGTCCTCTTTCACATAAATGATAAATGATGTGTCACCCGGGAGATACTTTTACGATCATGTGTCATGGGTCCTACTAAGGATACAGATAACTTTGCTGCATCCAAAAGTGCCAGCTGCCATCAGCTTCAGACACAGATCAGTGCCTTGCCAAAGCCTTGAGCCCTTTACTTTGGCACTCACCTGCACAGCCTTCACAACTCATCTGTAGACATTGCACAGATTTCCAAATGTAAAATGATCAGCCCACATTGATATCCAAGCTGTGAGGTAGCAATGATGATGAATATGAATACTGTAATATGATATCGTGCAGCGCTTTCTCCACACACCCTCTTCTAAAGCACTTCCTAAGACACTTCTCTAATGATCCAAATAACAAAAACATCTGGTCTGCTAGCTGTAACATCCAAAAACACGTTTTCATTTTATTTTCATAGTTTAAACACTGTGGTTGTAACACAGGAATACAATAAACCGTATGGTTAATTTGTTTTAAAAATCAATGTTTTTATAATGCATGGCTGTGTAAAGGCCCATGTACCCACAGTATAGCAGTCCTGCAGAGAATGTGACAGTCTCTAACAAGTTTGCGAACATAATGTAAACAAAGACTGTTGTTGCTCAGTGTCTGTGTACGAGCCTTTCATTTATTATGGGGGCAGGTCATTATGCAAGCAGCTGCTGGGACTTCCCTCTGTGTGAATTTTGTTAAGGGAGCAAACATTTAAAACCACCTTTATTCACCTATATGTTTCACCTATGTTCTTGTGGTCACCCAATCTATTAACCAATACAGAGTTATCTGTAACTAATATACATTTTATTAAACAAATGACCTGGCATACGTGCATTGCAGTTAGCCCACTATTATGGCATTCCATCTACATTTCATTTTTGTTATTGCGATCCTTTGGTGATTAGCCGTGCAACAGCAGGGCGGTGTGCACTTCATTAATTGTAGCATCCTTCAAGGTCTTTCTTTGTGTTCGGTGACTGTTTCTCTTTAGTTGTTAATTTCCAAGCAGACTGTGACAAAGGGAAACAGCTTCTGTAATTAAATACGATGTGAGGATAGACAAAACGGATGCCTGCAGTAACGCCCAGTCTTAAACCTAAACCCAAACTTTAAGAACAGCTCTTAAAAAGTAAGTTGCACAAATTGTTCGCACTTCTTTGGGGACTTTTGGCCCCTAAGAGTGTAGAAAATTAAGAATCCACATTTTTATACACAAATGTGCACACACACATTGATTTCCCCTAATCCATTAAATTCCATTCTAATTTACATGGGATTAAAATATTAGACAGGTTCAGAGTAGCTTTACTGAGATTTAGGGATGCTGACAGTATTGTCTCAACTGTGTGGCCTCTGGGCACTGCAAAGATGGAAAGTATGGAAAGTATTCAGCCTCTTTCGGTAATATGCAAATTATTATTTATTTTCTTTGACAGCACACAAACACACAAACAGACATCATACACATATAATTGAACTGCCAGTGAAGCTGTTGCAAGAAATAACGAGGAATAGATGGAAGAAATCCTTTTACATGAATGCTAGACCCCTCACATACTGTACCTGCTTGCCCATTAAGCTGTCAAAGTATCTTTACATGCTTTTAAGAAACATGTACACAAACTGCATCTTACTATGTGTGTAAACAAACTGAGCATCTTTGTTTGTGCAGTATTTGTGTGTGTAGGCGTATATGCACATGTTTTTACAGTATGTACATACTTATAACCATACAATCTGAATGCAAACAAGGATCTCACCTGTGAAGCTGTCACTGTGTATGCTGTGGGCTGTTAGACAAACACAAACATGTTCCCACTTGGACAGTCATTCCTTAGTGTCTAATAGGGCTGTGGAATTAATTGAAATATTACTGAAGTTGCATTATAACCAAGTTGCATATCCCAAATCACAGAAGCAATTTTTTGATAAAGGTAAAATGTGTGAGTACACAGAATAATAATAAATAATAATAGTGATAATAAAGAGCTGTAATACTACAGAGATGCCCTGGCCTACAAATCTTGTCCAGATGTATAAATATAAATCTATAAAATGTCGTTTTCTTTCAGTGAGATTTCAGTGAATCATTCCATGCAATGTGATTTTTTTTTTACCATATCTTGCAACCCTAGTCTATAACTTTAACAGCCTGAGGTGAGGCCCACAAAAATGTCCTCACGCTCTGAAATTGGTCCTCACAAAGAAAAGGAAAACCAGAGCGCACACACTAACACACTGCGGCTCCTTGTTGTGTGTGTGTTAGTTAAGTGATGGTGCAAGGGATCATGTCTCCTGTCTCCTGTGTAACTCACATCAGCTTTTATAGGTCAACGCTTTCTAGGTGGAACACACATCCCACACACACATCACACCACATACTTGCCCTCCTGTCCTTCTGACTTGCTGTTTCTGTCTTTCACTGCCTTGACACACTGTCCTTTTCTCACACTCCTGTCTTTGTTTCTCTCAGTTGTTTCTCTCTCCCTGTCTTTAGAAATTGTACATGTAAAAGGTGAAGGGAAACAGGGCTAAGCTTTTCTGTTCTGCCTGTTTTAACTTCCTACACACGTCGTTTTGGTTTCCCTTACTTTAACTTAAGACTCTTACGAGAGTGACACAAACTGATTTTCTCATCCTCCTGGTATAAGAGCGGCTTGATTTCGGTGGGGGAAAGCTCTTTAAGGTTGCAAGATTTTCTTTTCCAAATTTTTGACATTTTTACTACAGCGGATCTTGCACACCATCCTTTTTTTGTCTTGTACTGAGGTTTTTGTTTGTGCAACATTCTGACACAGATTAATAAAACATCTGAAACTGGCAGAGATTCTTGAAGACAGTCGGATGTCATCCTGTTTACTATCAATCCTCTAAACCCATTTTACAGTAAACAGCACAAACAGTGCCTTGCATGTTGTGAACAGATGCTTGTGACCCAACGGTGTCATACGCTATCTGCCACAGTTTACATAAATGAACCACACAACTTGATACTGCTAGCTCGTGTCCTTGCCAGGTAGTTCACTTTTGAGCCTTGAGCCGTTTTATGTGCAGACGCCACAGTTCACCTTCCATGGAGTCGACATGTTGAACCACCATGTTTCTACAGTAGCCCAGAAGGAATAAACCAAACGCTGGCACTAGATAGGGCCGTTGGTAGGGGCATTTCACGGCCACCGTATTTTCTCCTTCCCACTTGGAAGGGTGAAGCAACGGAGTTGAAATCTGCAACTAGACTGCCAGATGCCACTAAATCCTACACACTAAACCTTTAAATTGGTGTTCAGGGCAAGTTGTATAATACATACTCCGTAATACATTTTCTTTGTTGATGTCTAAAAAGGTCTTTAGGTTCCCGTCTCAGACAACCACTAGCCCAGACAGCTATAAATTCTCTTTCATACTCACCGCCAATTCTCTGCTCTGCTGTTGCTGCTGGTGTTTTTTATTTCTACTGCGTCCAAATCAATTGCTCCTCAGGGACAAATAAAGGTTGTGAACTTGAACTTGAACTAAACAAAAGGTCTTGATCTTAAATTTCACTACAGAGGAAGACGATATATCCGATCACGAAGCTTAAAATTCTGTTACATGTGCTGCTAACAACAGTTGGAAGCTAAAGATTACACTACACACACAACAAAGTCTGCAGCTTAGATTAATTTACTTTTGGATTCTGGGTCAATTTTAGATTCATTTGGGAACTATGGTGCCATGTGTATTTTTCCCAACTGCAACGGGGGTTGCAGAGGTATTTTGAAAATGCTCCAGCTCAGATTTTCTTCTCTGACTGACTCATTTTTGATAGCAATGAAAACCGAAGCTCATGGGTATTGTGGTATTTCAAGCCATCCACCATGCAAAACTGCACAAAAAACATTATCTCACTGAAAGGTTGACATAGTTAAAACTGCATTGTTGGCATTGTTCCATTTCCCTGTGATTCCTGTGTTTCTTTGTTGAAAACATTTGTGGAACCAGAATGTCAATGCACTGTATTGTGGGGCGTCTCTGGGGATTCAGAACAAACCGAATGGTGTCAAACAACTGTGTGAATCTTATCTTCATTGATTTCATTGTTAAGAAATAAAATTACATTGCAAAAACAGTGTCCTTTACTAACACTCTCTCTCTCTTTCTCTCTTTCAGACCCCCCTTCTGTATCCATAGATGGCTACGACAACAACTGGTACGTCGGACGTTCAGGCGCCGTGCTCTTCTGTGTGGCGAACGCCAACCCTGCGCCCACCACCATCACCTGGACCGCGTAAGAATCAAACTCCATCCGTCTGTGCAGTTGATCCGTCTCCCTCCACCTCCCTAGGAGATAGTGACAGCGTTTCTAATTGTTGCTATAATCACAACAGAAGTGTGCATAACAATCCCTCCTCTTTAATGATCATTTCTGAGTGATTTTTGATAAACACAAATGCTCTTAACATCTCATCCTGATGGACAGATGGTGTGCTGTGTTGTGTGTGTGTGTGTGTGTGAGTGTGTGTGTATGTGTGTGTGGGAAGGGTTTCTTGGTGAATTTTGAGTAGGGAGACAGAACGGCTGTTCGCCTGTCTGTGATTTTGCTCACATTAATGCTGTCTTTGAATACTGCAGTCGCAAACCGTCTCTTGTTCTTCTTGTTTCTTTTTTTTTTATCTTTTCCCATCTTTCTGTTTCTTCTTTTCTCATTTTCCTTTCCCCCTCTCTCATCGATTTGTCTTTTTGATTTTCTTTTGCTTCATCTTATTTTATTCAATATCTCAAACGTATGGTCTGCTTGCTGCTTTTTCTTACTTTTCTTTTATCCCTCCCTCTGTTCTCTCTCTTTCTTCTGTTATCTGTTATCATTCTTTTCTCCTGCTTACCATGTTCGATTTCTCTTTTCCGTTTTCATCTCACCATATGATATGTCCTATTCAACACCTCCCTTTATTGCTTCTCTCCCTCCCTCTTTCCGCCTTTCCCTCCTGCTCCCTTCTCTCCAGGGCGTCTGGTTCTTTGCCAGACACGGTGATGGTGGACGGCAACAAGCTGATGGTGAGGAAAGTGGACGACGCCGTCAACACCACTTTCATCTGCGAGGTCAAGAACAAGTACGGGGCCAGCAGGCACCAGATAACCACCATCGTCAATGGTGAGTCAATCAAACTGCAGATAACACACACATACTGGCTGTACATGTGGAAGCATCGACGGATGCACACGACATATTGTATAATAGAAATGCATGTGTATTTACCTGGAAATATGATGAACACACACAGGTGACAGAGCACAACATCCCATCACAACGTCTTCTCAGACAGCATGATTGCTGACACGCACACACACACACACACACACACACACACTGTGAGTCACACTAGTTCCTGTGCACAGATGTACGTGCATATGTACATGACATGACATTTGCATGCACATAAAGGCCACATCCACTTGCACACATGCATGAACATAAACATAAATCTCTGTCACACACACACACACACACACACACACACACACACACACACACACACACACACGCTGGGATCAGGGCTGATCTGAGAGCTGCAGGGATGCTGTCTCTCTCAATCTTCACATTGGATTTTTTTCATGTTTTCGTCCTTGCTGGTTGGCTTTCAGCAAGGCGCGGCAGAGGCTTTTGATTGACCCTTTCCCCACAGCAGGGCCAAATTGCAGGACAAGGGCCAACTCGAAATGTTTATAACTTCAGATCGAAACCACTCTCTTGAAACTGGAGTCTATACGGCCGCACTGCGACCGGAAAACTGTAGCTCTGCTGGACAGAAATTAAATGTGAATTGTGGTTTATGAGTCTGAGAGCAGGCCCTTGTTGCAGCGTTTTGGCCCTGCGGTGGACACAGCGGTGTTGGGGTTGTTGGTGGGTTTCTAAAATGTTCCAAGGGTTACAAGTTGGTGTGAGCCGGTTTGCCCAGGTTTGTTTTTCTTTTCTTCTTCTGTTCTAACTTCCCATTATTTGCATCCACTATTTATTTTGCATAACAACTAACACCTCCTAGGCATGGGTGCTGTATGTGCTCTATCTTTTTTTCTTTTAAGTTTTCTTTCCTCTTCTTCCTTTGAATCTCCCCTTCCGTCTGGTAAGAACATGACAGCTGTGTCTGCATGCAGTCTCGATCTTTCTGCTGGTTCTTGACTTTTGACGTTTGCTAGTTCGGTGATCCGGCTGCTGCTGCCACGGTGTTCGCTCGGGATTTTTTTGTCTTTTCCTCTGCCCTCTGACGCTTTCACGCATTGATCCGACACACACACATACACCTGCACCCACAAGCACACACACAAACCCAGGAACATGCCTGCATGCTGAAATGCCTCACTGCACATCAGCAGGCAGGCCTCTAAACCTGTTAGTGTGTCTTTTTTTATCACTGTGTGTGTGTTCCCACAGTGTTGCTCTCCACATTGCCTGCTTGACTGGTCAAAATGCTTTCCTTCCTTCTTCTACGATTCCTTTTTGAGGGATTAGTTTGAATAATCACCAGGTTGAGCTTTACAACACAACAACGCAAAAAAAACAACAACTTCTACTCTTTTGCCAAAAGACAGAGAGAAAGCTACATTTAGAAAAATCCGTGGGAATCGGAGCTGGAGATTTGAATTGTCTCCTCTGAGAACAAAGATCCTTTGTAGCCAGGCAGTGTGTTGGGAGGGATGTGTGGGAGGTTCAGAAGTGGCTAAGCTGCTACTGTTCTTGCTGGAAGCGTAGCATTGTGACTGACTCAAAGTATCACGGAGGGTACTCTTTCCCCTTCTAGCGCACACACACACACACACACACACACACACACACACACACACACACACAAAAAAATATAAGCTTAACAAACTGAAATCCTTTACAGACACATGTAAAAGTCCACACTTGACTCATACACAAATGTGTACTCATAAATACACACACATACTTTGAGCACTTTTGAGGACTGGCACACAAACACAAATGGTTTATCTTTCCAAGTACCTGAGATCAAGCCCAGACTTTGTGATTCATCCTCCTCTGTGTTAAATGTGTCCTTGGTGTTAGACCGTTTGCTTGTGTTCCACCACGGTAAAATAACTAGATGGGTATAAAGTAACATAGTGACTTAATCCCTCACTTTAACACGTTTACTTTTAGAAGGTGAGTGCCAGAACTTAAAATGAAGCTGGCAAGGTGTGGGCTGACGGTGCGCTTTGCTGAACAAAGATGGCAGCATGTTTTGTTTACCGTTTTAGCTGACACACTCATCCAAAGTGACTTCCCATGAGTACAGACGGGAAATGTATTGCTGTATTCCTCAAGGACACTGACTTTGGCTGTTGTTGGAATCAAAGCTGTGACCTGTATGGCAGTCTACTCAACCACCATGCCACAATTGTCTTTGTAGAAATCCTTACTTTGTGTGTATGTGATACTTTTTAAATCCAAATTGTATTATTTCAGCATTGACATAATATATGATATACAAAATATCAGCTTGATAAATACTATTTTTTGCAGACTAGATACTTCATTGATAAAATACACCACTAGTCAGCCTTGAACTCCAAATCTCCCCACTCTAGTCAAAAAACCTTAACCACTACACTATATGGTAAGATATTTAGCCCTTCTGGGAACAAATGCTACAAATGAAGCAGGACATTTTATATGCTTACGTGCCTATTCCTACAAAAGTAAACATTTTATAAAATGCCTGAACCACTACACCTAAACCTAATGCCACAGTCCTGTCAACACCATATCAATACCTACTTCTATCACAAAAGTGCATTAAATAAGCTCCTTATTGCGGTGACAGCAGGTGAATCATGACCTATAATGACAGCCTCGCTCAAACTGAATTGGACCACCAGCTCACTGCCCCAGGCCAGTCATCAGAAAAACAGCCCAATGAGTTTAGACTCTCTTTCTCTTGCATTGGCTCAAATCTGTAGGCAGTCGACCAGGAAAACTCCCAACAGTCCAGATGGCCAGTCTGCCACTGGTAATGAATCAAAAAACGACTGCATCATTTGACTCACCTTTCTAAAAATGATTATATACATGGCTGAACGACTCATTCAACAACATGTGAGTTACTAATTAAAGCAGTTAAACCACTGAACCCACTGAATGAATTAATCATATACCTTCTGACCAAAACATGATGCTGCCTATTCTAATAAGTTCTTTGAGTCTGTTTCAGAAAACAAATGTTTTTATAATTTGAAACAAACCAAGTGTTTGTTTAGTTTAGTAGTTCATTCAGAAAATGAGCTACTAAACTAAACACTAGCAGCCAAATGGTTGAACCAATCTGACATTTTGTGTTTGTGCCATGAAATTGTTTGTTTGTCGAATGTGGCATTTTTCCATACACGTATACCCATACTGAGCCAAACAATGAGATCTTGTGATCAGTGTGCACACGGCTCAGAAGGTTTTCCATAGGACAGCATGGCACAGTAGAAGTGATGAATGAAAGTGTGTGTGTGTTTTCTTTTCTTCTTCTTTTCATCTAATCAGCTCACTGTGGCCAGTCCTCCTTGCAATATTTAAAAATAGTCCACTGACAAAATAGCATGTGTGTGATTCTTTCACAATACCAACACTAACAGAGCAAAACCTTGGTCCACTACATTTGCTATAGCTGGTTTGCAATAGAAAGCTCCAAGTACTGACACAGTACTTAGAGCTGCTCATTGTAAAATGATGTTTTCTCTGTAGTCAGTTGCAGTACCATGCATGTATTCAGCCAATTAGTTCAGCCCAAGACACAGCTTTGGTTGAAGAAGTAGACCCTAGTTAACCCTTCTACCAAGCAGACTGACAATATCAAAGGTCAGTGTGCAGTTATCTTCTAAACCGTGCTATCCGTGAGATTTTGAGCTGATTGCAGCTTTTTTCATTTGGAGTGCAGTTAGCGTGGAAGTCGCCATTATTGTACTGTAGAAAGCTGTTTTCACAAAATGGCATGGTGTCTTATGTTAACACAGTACATTCAGTAAACCAAACCGTATCTTTAGATCAGAGTGATCCCACTTTTGTTCTACGTTTCCTGAAGAAAAAAACATTATCAGTAAACCACTTGCCTCTAACTGTAGTGATAGAAGCCAGTCTCTCAGCGTGAGATCTAAACTGTCAGGTGCAGAAGGCCCCTGCTCTCAATAATGTAACAGTTAATACCCCGGCACTTTGTGTACACGGGCCCGACACACCCTGCTAATTTCCCTGCTGAGAACTGTTAACAGCTCCTCTCTGTTCTGTTAAATGGTAGATGAAAGCCCTGTGCTGTCTGGCTTTCCTGCTGCCGTCAAGCAGCCGTCACGTGTCATGATTTCCCGCTCAGCGTCCACCGGGGCAACAACTTAGAGGAGGAAGAGATGTGGGATTGCATGAGGAAAAAAAAAATGTGGGAAGAGAGGTGAGGCAGGAGGAAGAAGAGGCTGAAGGAGTGATGAAGGTAGTGGGGAGGGAGGAAGAGGAGTTGAAGGAAGAGCTGTGAGGCATTTTGGGGAAACCTAATAAACACACACACAGTCCATTTCTCTCTTGTGCATTCTGAGTTCTCATGAGTAAACGCTACTGAAAGACAGCTAGAGATTTTGTTCTTAAGTGTTTTGCTGACGAGAGTGAAAAGTCTACAGCATCCCTCTCAACCACTACATACACACACACACACACACACACACACACACACACACACACACACACACACACACATACAGTACCACCCTGAACTCCCATCCGTTCACATGCACATGATGCCAGCTATGCATGGCTTGCTTGGTCGCCACGGTGCCAGCTGGATCTGCCCAGCACACCGTGCACAGAGAGGGGGAGAGGATGTTGGCAGAAAAAAACGATTGGAGTGGAGGGTGGGAGGGGATATGAGGTGGGGTGGGCAGCAGAAAAAAGACAGAGAGATTGCAGAAGGGCTGAAAACTGAGATAAAGGGGTGGAGAGAGGGTGAAAAAAGCAGAAAGCGGTGGAGAGGCACAAACGGAGGTAGCAGCAGGAGGACAGTGGCAGGAAAGTCCTCTAAAACTCCCCTGACTTCTGGTCCATTTTAAAAGAGCGAACTGGCAGGGGGCCGTGACCCCCTCTGTCCTCTACCCCTCTGCTCATCACTCCATCCTTCCCCCCCC